GCCCGCTCCGGGGGGCCCGCGGGGCCCGCGTCCCGCGTGGGGGGCTCCAGCAGGCTCTCCGAGTTCTCCAGGATCTCCTGGAGCAGCCGGCGCTTCTGATACTCTGGACCTGCCGGGGACCACAGGGGGAGGCTGGATTCGAACCTTGGGCCCACGGCTGGATGATCCTGGGCCAGCACCTAATCTCTCTGGGCCCCATTTATTCTGCAAGCATTCGATGCCAACGACCAGGCACTGCGATGTGCAGTTTCCTAGCGTGAGTCCACTTGGTTTAATAACCCTGAAACTGGTGCTGTTGTGGAGCTCCATTTCACAGATGGAAAGACGGAAACCCAGACGTTGAATCACTTGCCCAGTGTCACACAGCAAAGGGCAGAGGTGATGGTCTCAACTGTGACCCTGGTCTCTTTGCATTCCCTTGAGTAAAAATGTGCCTAATCATACCTATTCCACATTGTTGTTAGGATTAATGGAGAAAATAGTGTAACGGGATGAGCTCGGTGCCGGCCTAGTTACAGCCACTGCCGCGATCGCCCACGGCACGCTGGTGTGCGTCCTGGGACCAGCAGGGGGCGCGCTGTGACTAGAAGGGATGGGTGATCCGTGCGCAGCAGCCGCGGACACCCTGCCCCCCGCCTTCCATCCAGTGTCCCTCTGGTCCCCTCGCTGCAGCCGAAAGAATGCTTAGCAGACACCCATCCTGTCATTCACAACCTCCTCCAATGCAGGAACACCAATCCCGCCCCCCCCGGGCTCCCGCTGCTCTGCCAAATGTGATCTGTGGATCCGTGTCCCACCGGGCAGGAGGTCTGCACCCTGCAGCCGCCCTCCCCGCCACTTACTGCCTGCTTTCCCACCAGCCGCTCTCTTCCAAGTGTCTGTGCCTCTGCGCCCGCAGGCCCCTCCTCTCGTCCCCTGTTCCTCGCGGTGCTACCTGGAGTGATAGTTCTCAAAGCGTGGCGGCAGCAGCACCCCGGCCTTGTTAGGAATACGTATTTATGGAATCCACTCCAGACCCAGAAAGTCAGGGACTCACTGATGGGCCCCACAGACTCGCTCAAGTTTGGGACTCACTGACCTAACGTGGCCTTCAAGATGTGGCCCAAATGGCCTCTCCCAGGACCCCTCCCTTTGCCCCACAGGCGAAGCGCTTCCTGTGAGCTCGCATGGTCCTATTCTCACCACACAGCACACACTGTGTGAAGCTCAATCATCCCTAGTCGCTGAGCGCTTACTGTGGACCTTACATACAGGTACTCAGTGCTCAAAATAGGGGCTGGGAGTGTGGCTCAGTGGTAGAGCACTTGCCAAGCATGCATACGGCCCTGGGTTCGATCCCCAGCACCAGAAAAAAAAATGAGTAGGGACTATTCTCACCCCCATGTTACACATCAGGAGTCTGAGGCTTACCAGTGACCTTGTACAAGGTCTCACAGTCGGTGATCAGGAGTCAGGATTTGAGTACATACAGTCTGTGTGCCTCATCCCCTGCTATGCTGTCTTTGTGATACATTCTCTGCAGATTCTGGGCCCCAGCTGCACACCCCTAGAGCCAGTACAGTGCCTGACACACAGGCACTGCTCAATGAATGCTCAACAGACTGTTCAGGAGTGGGAAGCTCTGTTGCCCCCTCATCCACCACAGGCCTATTCCTCCTCAAGGCTTCCCCAGCTCCGACCCTCTACCTTGCTCAGAATAGACAAAGAGCCAGGCTGGGGTGGTAGCTTCTGCTAACCCCACCACCGCAATCTCAGCATGAAGGCAGGGATTTGCTCACGTTTCCTTGCCCCTGCCTACCCCCTGTGCACCATGTCCCAGAGTTTCCAAAACTCGAAAATGTTCATGAGCCCTGTTAGGCATCTCCACTTTGCAGCAAGCAGTGAAAAGTGCCCAACACCAGGACTGCCCCTTCCCACCCTGGCTGTCCCTACCTGGCTGGTAGAAGTCTGGAGCCAGCTCCCTGGCCAAAGTGCGGGCAATGTTGGACTCCTGGTTGGCGGCCAGGGCCGCCTGCTCTGCTGCCTCAGCTTTTGCCTTGGCGTGGCTTGTCCTAGAGAGAAAACATGGCAGGAAATTTAGGATCCTATCAGAGAACCACCCTACTCCTTGCCTTCCCTAGCCGACAAAGAGATACCCTGGATACAGCATTCTTTCATCTAGGCCAGTGGTGGCGAGCCTATGGCACACATGCCACAGTGGGCACGCAGAGCCCTCTCTGTTGGAACATGAGCCAAGTTGTCCCAGCAGCCAAGCATGGAGCAATAGTTTTTTTTTTTCCTAAACTAAAACCTCAGTATTCAGGTTTAACTGAAGTGTTGGCACTTTGCAATAAATAGGTGGATTCTGGGTTGCAGTTTGGGTACTCAGTTTCTTTTTTTTTTTTTTTCTGGTACCAGGGATCGAACTCACGACCTTGCGCTTGCCGGGCAGGCGCTGTGCCGCTGAGCTAAATCCCCAGCCCCTGGCACTCAGTTTCTAAAAGGTTCGCCATCATGGATCTACGCTGTCAGTGACTACCCAGGTCTGGTGGCTCAGAGTGCTGTGTATTCTCCTGACCATTTCATCCATTTTCTGGGTGCATAGACATTTCCCAGCCTCCCCTACATTTAGTGTGATCAAGCGACTGCAATCTGGCCTGTACATTGTGGGAAGAAATGATGTTTGCTAGGCCTGGCCCATAAAAACTTTCCCCCTGTTTCTGTCTGAATATAGAGGCCAAAGTCCCAGAATAGGGTATTTAACCTTTTTTGTGTCATAGGCCTCGTTGTCAGTCTGGTGAAGCCTTCTCAGGATAATGTTTTAAAATGCATAAAGTATATAGTGGTAAAAAGGGCTGTAGGGCTGGGCTGGTGGTACATGCCTATAATCAATCCCAGCACTCTGGAGGCTGAGGCAGGAGGATTTCCCTGTGTTTGAGGCCAGCCTGGGGTATATAGTGAGTTCAAGGCCATGCTGAACTACCTAATGAGACCCTGTCTCCAGAAACCAGAAAACGTGGGGGTAGCATGCAGTTATACTGACATGCTGTTACCAAAATATTTAAAAGAATAGATTTGTAATATAATCATGTACATTCTTTATTAACACACTAAAGTATCTATTGAGTTTACTACCATCATTTAAAAGTACAGATAAAGGATACTTCATTTTGATACTTCGTATTGCCATTTTGATGACAAAATCACAGGTTCGCCTGTTACTATGGTCTGTTGCTTATTTCATAACTGAAGAAAATGCTAAATTTCAGTTTGAGGTTAAAGACATAGTTTCCCCCCCCCCAGTAGATACACTTGGTGTCCTTCCAGGTCCCTTCACTGGGCAAAGCTACCTACCGTCTAGCTGCCAGGGTGTTGGCTGCTACTGGGTCATTGCTCCTCCAGAGAATTGCAACCAACAAAAGCCACGTTGCTCCAGAAGTTATAGTGCCCGTCCCCCATCCCGTCAGCCCCACCAATGCCTCGCTGAAACTGGCAGGTCCCCCTTTCCCAAGAGCAGCCCACTCCAGCCACAGGGTCCAGTTCCCACTCCAGAGCTCCCTCTGCCGGAGGCCAGGGAAGGCGAACCTTTTAGAACTTTCAATGACACCAACAGCCCACTGTGGTACACATGCCACAGGTTCGCCACCACTGCCCTAGGCTGAACCGGATCTCCAGGTGAGAGTCACCCCACTCGGCTACTCCTCAACATCTCCTGATTCTCTCCTTCCTCTCTCTTTGACGACACTCCCTCCATAAATCACTGGCTGAGGAATCCCCACCTCAGGCCCTAAACTCAAATACAGTTCAAGTTCACAGATACCCTGAATTCTACCCACAGAAGCCCCGGTGGACTCCAAGTTAATAAATGCAGTAGAAAGAACCTGAGTCTGGGAATGAACACAGTGAGGACCTCTCCCCCTGCCCCACACTGAAATGTGACAAGAATGAACATTAAACGTCGATTGTGTTGGGTACCTGAGATTTGAGAGCTGTTTGTGTCAGCTGTCTAGCCCAACTAGAGTTACAAAGAAAGTCGCATACCGTCACCTAACAGCTTAGGAAGCCAGTGCTGTTAGTATCCCTATTTTACAGAAAAGGAAGCCGAGGAGCACAGAGGTTAAACAACCTGCCCAGGGTCACGTGGTGGGGAAGCGCAGGAGCTGAGATTCTGAGCACTAACTCCCTGTACTTGAGCACTACTCTGCAGCATGCTTCGTGCCTGGCAGGAGCTGAAGACTGAAATCCCCGCAGACAAGACAGCCCTCACTAGCGAGTCAAGTATCATTTAAATAAAAAGCATTGGCTAGAACTTGCTGAGAAGGAAAAGTATAGGGTGTGGTATGGTTTAGATCTAAAATGCCCCTAAAATGCTTCTCATGTATTCAGAGGTGGGGATTTTGGAAGGAGGCTGGATTATTGGAACACTGTACTCATTAGTGGATTAATACAGTGATGATTTCATAGCTGAGTATGGTGTCAGGAGCAGGGGCCAAGTCAGAAGAGGTGGATCACTGGGGCATGACGCAGAAGGGTGTTTTCTGTTCCTGGTTCCTCCTACCTCTCACTCTGCTTCCTGGCTGCAAGACAGTGTGAGCAGTTGTCCTCCACCAGGTCCTGCTCCCGTGTTGTTTCTTCCTTGGAGCCAACTGACTCTGGACTGGACCTACTGGAACCATGCACCAAATAAACCTCCCCTTTTGAAAACTGTGGGTGTTGAGTACTTTGTCCCAGTGATAGAAAAGTGACTAATACGAAAGCAATGGAAACACAGAACAGGAAGATACTGTATAGGTTGGCAGAGGTGGTGGGTGGTCAGGGGAGGTTCCCGTGAGCATGGGACATTTAAGGTGAGCCTTGAAGAACCATTAGGCTGAGGGGAAATGGGGAAGGACAGTGAGCCAGGTAGAAGGAAAAGCATGTGCAAAGGCCCTGTAATAGGACAAGAGCTTGGTGTCTTTGGAGAAATGCAAGGTCAAGTCAAAGCAATTACATCTCTGAAGATGAGTTAATTCCTCAGGGAGCTTAAATGCATGTGTCCCTTGCCCTCAGTCTCCAGCACACAGTGTGTCCACAGTAAAGGAAATGAATTCCCTTTAGTTCCTACTATGCAGCAGGCCTTTTATCTGTGTTATCCCTATTAATCCTCCAAACTGCCTTGAGATGGTTTTTACTCATCCCTCCATCACAGGCAGGGAGACTGGGGCTTGGCGCGGTATCTGGCAAGGCACTGACTGTGTGCCAAGGGCTTCAGGGAACTACCTTACTCAACCCCCAGTCAGTCCATGTTATTATTGTCGTCCCTCTTCCTGCAGGCACAGGAAGATCCTAAAGAACCCGCTCACCCTTATGTGCTGCTATGGTTGATACATTGTGTCAACTTGGGGAGTCTAGAGGTTTGGCTAAGTGACTCAGCAGGGAGCCAGGGTGCTTACTTTGTATACATCCTGAGCCTGTGGAAGAGGAGGGCATGGAGATTATGTCAGAGCTACATGCCCCTTAGGTGGGGGTAGACTGTTTACAATGTGAGGCAGGGAAAGAAGCTGTTGGGTGCCGTTCTGCCGTTTTGCTCTGGCTGCTTTGCTGTTCGGCTGCCATGCCCCCCTTGCTCTTGTTGCTTTGCTGTCTGCTGCCTCGGAGCCAGCCAAGTATGGACTGAAACCTCCACAAACTGTAAGCTAAACAAACCTTTCCTTCTTTAATCTTGGGCATTGGGTATTTTGTCTCAGCAACGAGAGAAAAGTAACCAAGACTCGTGGCGAGGAAGTTAGTTCCTGGACTCAAGCTGAGGCGATCTGGGGCTACAGTCCATGCCCCAGCCACGGGCTGTGAAGCCACACTGCAAACCCAGCGCTGCCTGATTCCGAAGCTGACCTGTCCACTGCACCACGCTGCCACACTTACGCCCACAGCGTGGAGGAACACACACACGAACGCACACAGCAGGCAGGCATGGGCACGCATGGGGCAGCACTGGGAAGAGACAAGGGCAGGGCTTTGGGGTCAGCAGCCTTGGACACCAATCTGGCTCTGCCCAAGGTGGGGTCAGAGTAAGGTGACAGACGCATCTGATGCGGCAAATTCAGTCAAGATAAATCACACTTTAATTTTTTTTTTTGTCTTTTTGAGATAGGGTCTCACTATGCAATTCAGGCTGGCCTTGAACTCACAACGATCCTCCTGCCTTCGCCTCCCGAGTGCTGGGATTACAGGCACGTGCACCCACACCTGGTGTCACACTTTAATATTTATTAAAATCCAAATTAATGCAAAAATCCCCGGTGAACAAACTATGAAGATATTGATTGAGAGACTATACTAGGAATTGAACTCAGGGCCTTCTCAATGAGCTACATCCCCAGCTTTTTGTTTTTTATTTTAATTTTGAGACAAGATCTCACTAAGTCACTGTATTCCCCAGGCTGGACTCAAATTTGCATTCCTCATGCCTCAGCCTCCCAGAGTGCCAGAATTACAGGCGTGTGCCACCACAACTGGCTAATGAAGACCATTTTAAATAAAGACTGGACTGGACCCTGCACTGGCATCCCTCCCTCCCTCACCACACCCTAGGGACTCTGGGACCTCGGGTATGGGGTTTTCCCTGTTTGCGTCTCGGTTTCTTTATCTGTAAAGGATAATAATTCTATCCTTGTGGAGCTGTTGTCCAAATGAAATGACAGGCATCATGTGAATGTGTTTAGCCCGCTCGAGGACAATGACGGTGTTGACAATGGATAAGGGTGACGGTGGTGATGGGGGGGTGACGGTCGAGGAAGAAGGGAGGGGGTCGTGTGTGACATCAGAGCCGAGTGTGGTACGTGGGTGTCTTCGGGCCCCGCTTGTCTGCATGTGGGTATGTGTGGGACAAAGTTCTCACGTTCAGACCCACACTCCCAGGAACCTGACACTTGGAGGGCGGGTAGCAAACCCTCCAGCTGAAAAGATGTCCTTTTTTGGTGATGTGAGCTGAATGTCACTCATTTTCCAGTGCCTGGGGAAGCTGAACGGCAGCCAGATCCCAGGAAGGCCCTGGGGTACCCCCAGGGCAGCCAGCACAGGGAACCCCACGAGG